ACACCATAGAAGGCCACAGGGGACTCCTGGAAAAGCACCTTGTCCCCATGCCGATGTACACCAGTAGACTCGTTATTCTATTTTATTAGTTTTCAGAACATTTGTTTGATTTTCTAATAGTTATACAAAACACAAAAATTCCCCAGCCTCAGCCTGCCAGCCAGCCTGCAACCAAACAAGTAGCCCTGTCAACAGTATGCGTTAAAATCAGAGGTTTTAGTTGCACAAACTTTTGGCCAAAAATATGTAGAAGCCACACTGCCGCGCCAAGGCACCTCTGCAAAGTGTGGTCCTAACTCTATGTATCCGAGTCTCCAAGTGTGAGCATATTAATGAAGTTGATAAATTACATGCATGTGTACCTGGAGGTAGCCAACTCCTCCTAATAAGGTGCAGGGACGCACTGGAGGCCCAGCAACCAAAAATGCACGCTGGGACTCCAGTGCGTCCCTGCACCTTTATCAGGAGGAGTAGGCCACCTCCAGGTACACATGCATGTAATTTATCAACTTCATTAATATGCTCACACTTGGAGACTCGGATACATAGAGTTAGGACCACACTTTGCAGAGGTGCCTTGGCGCGGCAGTGTGGCTTCTACATATTTTTGGCCAAAAGTTTGTGCAACTAAAACCTCTGATTTTAACGCATACTGTTGACAGGGCTACTTGTTTGGTTGCAGGCTGGCTGGCAGGTTGAGGCTGGGGAATTTTTGTGTTTTGTATTGTTGTAAGCCTTCCCAATGTGCGCCCTGCTATAAAGGCCGGTTATAGATTCATGCATGTACCATTTTTTTGTATTCTGATTTTCTAATAGTTATTGGGGACATGATGATCGTTTTTGACTCTAGTGATAGGAAAAATTGAAGGCCAAAGTTGAAAAATTATTCTAGCTTCTTATCCAAATAGACACAATTCTAACTGTTAAAGTGGAAGTGAAGCTTTAAAAAAAAATGCCCCAGGAGCTTTTAGCTATAATGTGCTAGTATGCACAGCATATGGCAGACTTACAGCACCTGCCAGAGCAATTCCTCCAGCACTGCACTCCGCCCTCTGTGGCTCTTCATCTCCTCTTCTTCCGTTTGGACCCTAATGACCTAACTCCTGCACACACACAGGTAAGGTACTTCATCTCGGCATGCCAGGTCTGAACGCAGAGCTGCGCACGCTGAATTGCAAAATAAGTAATTAACAAGTAAAATAATTGCTGAATGGAAACAAGAAGCTTTTATGGCAGAAGAGATTTACAGTTATAGAAGGACTGCTAATCGCCAATTTTTTTTTTCTTTTACCTTACTTCCACTTGTCCTCCTCCTGGGAAAAAACATATTTATTGTAATGTGCATGTGCTAGGAAAATTTGGAATTAGAAGTTTTTTTTAAGCGGTTATCTGAGGTATAGGAATAGGATTGTATAAAATAATGTACAATGCAAACAACTGTATAGTGTCTGCAAAGTTGGATAAAAAGTAGATTTAAAAGAAAACAAAAACTCATATATTAGATATTTAAATAGACGTTGCTTTGAATTATTCTTTTTATTCTTTCGTTGGTTTCATAAGTAATAAAGGAAACAAGTTTAGTACATCTGGGATTCCATTCATGTGGCAGGGCTGGATGAAATTTTTAAGGGTTTTCCATTAGTTGACTCAATGATGGCACCATGGACTGCTCTGATGAGTGATTTTTCAGAATGTAGTTGCTGGCACTTTAAAACAATGACTTACACCTGGACAATATCTATATTATGCCTTGCTCTCTGTCCCAAAGGAGAGGAGGGGTAGTTGATGGATAATGGGCAGGCAAGGGAGATGGGGGGGTTGATGGATCACCTGTCCCTTTATTCCCTAGTCTTCCCCTCTTTAAACTAAAATGTTTTTTTTTTAGCTAAAGCTCTCTCAGACATCACTCAGAGCAGACAGGGAGCTTGACCCCAGTACATTAGATGTTGCTGTTTGCATAATAGCAGTTGTAGAGCACAGAGTGGTACCCTCTGGTACGGGAGAGGTGACGGCTTTCTGTTGTCTTGCAGCCGCATTCCTCTCCAAACAAAAGAATTTCCTTGTGGGGCCATATCAGAGGAATGTTACTGAAGACCTTGGATAAAACGCTGACCTTAACATTCACTGATACTACATCCACTGCAAACATAAACTGAGAAAAAACAAAACCGTTTCCAATTTTTTTTTTTATCAATTGAAACTTTTTTATTTTATTTTTTATCTGACTCGGCATCTCTGTGAAGTGTCTTTGGCATTTTTCCCCTAATTATATCTGTTGAAGTAAGATATTTTGGCTGTAGAACATGCTCTTTTTACTATCTGAAGATAGTCGGGCGCCAGACAAATTATATAGGCCCTTGACAGAATCCCCTCCTCCTTCGGCCAAGGCTTACTTTAATTTTGGATTGTTCTAAAAGAGGAACTGATGTGCGGATGTGGGAAAGCAACCCTGCAATATCTATAAATTAAATCCCAAGTGAACTTTCAGTTGGAATCGGCTAAAAACATTCCCGGTGCATCAAAACAAAAGGTGTGCCTCTTGCTCGTGTTCACTAAACAGCACAACATGACTGTGCCAAGTGTAATAATAAAATATTAAAGAGGACCTGTACATCATTGTGCCCCTCTGATATTAGCTTCAGGTCTGACTTCCTTGGCATATGGGCTAAATCCCAGTGACTACCATCACCTTCTTAAATGAGAGTGGCTCAGCCACTACCTTAGTAGAAAAGCCGGTCCTCTGCCAGCATGCTGCAGAGAAGGAGCCTTGCTCACTGTGTGGAAGCAGTGGACTCTCTGCAGAGCTCTGACACGCCGACTGCTTAGTTAGTTCTAGAGCTCTCCAATCAGCAGGGAGCGTAAACTTTGCTAATTGGAGAGCCCTAGTTCTGACAGGGGGCTTGTTGGACCTACACAGAGAGACCCACTGTTTCTGTACAGACAGCAAGACAGCTTTGAATGAGGAAAAACCTCATGTGCTTTGGATCACTGATGGAAACGATGATACATCCCTTGCTCTCTGTGTGGAAACAGTGGTCACTCTGCAGAGATCTGACACGCTCCTTAGTCGATCAGAGCTAGAGCTCTCCAATCACCAGGGATCATGAATTTGAAGTTTCAATTATATAGGTCTAACTCAGTTGGTAATATGTTGGACCTCTGCAAGGAGACCACTGCTTCCACACAGAGCAAGGGTTCTTTTCTACAGAATAATGGTAAGGGACAGTCTTCTCTACTTAGAGGGTGGCTGTGTTTTTTTTTTTAATATAAAGAAAACAAACTATAAGACTAGGTACACCTTTTGCGTTGACGCTAAACTTACATTTAAACTGAACGTTGAGGATTGGTTCATCTAAATGTGATATTTTAAAGTGGATCTAGCACCCGGGATGTTTACCATGCTAGGTGCAGCATGCCAGTCATTTGTAAGTGTGACGCTTCCAGGTATTTATTACAGCTTTCTCCATAATGAATGATAAAACTCTGGCAGGAATGGAGGGACCCTCGCAATTGTTGTGCAGACCCCGAGGATCTCACCAACACATTTCTCCAGATATAGAAACAAATTGTACACATTTTGTAACTTTTCTACATCTACCAAAAGCTTAAAATTCACCTTAAATACCTGTTGTGCTTCTCATCCATGTGTGTTCTGTATTTCTTCACAGATGCCTTTCTCCGTTGCTCAGATGGTCGTCCAGAAAGAGAGCGGACTTCAACACGTTCGGAATATGCTGTTTGCGAGCGAGCCGGGGGTTAAGAGGACATCGGTCTCTTTGCTGAGGAACCTGTCGCGCAATTCCTCTCTACACAATGATATTTGTCAGTGCAAAGTTATGGCAGCCGCACAATTTACTTCTAACGCACCAGTGCTATGTAGAGAATATTGAATGTTACGCCCCGCCTCCGAGGAGTTTACTCATTAAGATGGGGAGATTCACCTTTTTTATTGGTCCTGGTGACCTCTGTCAGTAGGACAAAAAGTAATGAGAAGTCCAAAATTTTACAGTTGTTGGGATATCTGTTTCAGTGACAATTACAGTAAGGGGAATTCCCTTTTACTTTCCTCTTCCTGTGGTGTTTTTGGGACAGGACGTGATGGGAAATGTCCTCAATGAAACACAGACGACACAAAATGGGGTTTTAACCATTCCCTACGCTATCCAAAATTTTTTATGTTTTTCTGGCTTCATATGTACTTAAATTGGCATACTGCTGATAAATATTCTTAAAATAACCCGGATATGAGACAAGTATGGGGACTGCCAGTATGGACCTTCTTCAGAAACATATATTGCAGTATAGATGTAAAAAGTGATGGTGTCACTTTTTTAATCATGTTTCACATCTCTATTTCAGCCACCGAAATGATGCCAGATCTAGTGCGGGCCCTACCAGACTCTGTCCCGGACTCGAACATTGCCAACGACACCGCTGCATCCCTGTGCTACGTTCTCAACAGTCTGATCAGCAGCAGCTCTCAGAACGCCAGACTCCTCCTTCAAAACGGTGGTGTCCGCAAACTTATCAATCTTAGCAGCAAAGATGGGTGAGGACACCTGGGGGTCTATTTATAAACACTTTGCATAGGCATTCTCTGAATCTCTAAAGATTCTTTTTGTGCGAATAGAGGCAAAAATGAATGTTCTTAGTATATTTTCTTATGTAATGTAATACCACATTATGGCCACCACATATGTTTAATTCCTATGCTCCTCAGCTCCATCTAGTGGCTATAATGTGGTTTACATTACATTTGAGCTGAAATGAAAATATACTAAGAACTAGGGATGCACCGATACCAGTTCAGATACCAGTGCCGATACCTGGCGTTTTCATGAGAACTACCAGGGTTGCAGCTGGGACCTGGTCTCTGGTGCTGCACCACTGTCCTGAAATCTTAGTCTGTATTATTTTAGAAAAACTGTCACATGACAATAAACAAAAATGTATCAGTACTTGTATGTGTAAGTACTTGGGCAAGTATCAGTACTCGTACTCGCAAAACTGGTATCTGTGCATCCCTTTATTTATATTTATAAAAACAAAATCATACATAAAACTCAGATGTACAAATCCCAGGAGCTCCGTGTGCTCCTTACAAATGACAGCTGCCTCCTAATTTTTGAATTTTTCTCTAGTCTAGTCTTGGAGCTCGAAAAGTATCTGTACTTGTACAGAGTACTGTACTTGGTATCGGTGCATCCCTACTAAAAACGTTTGTTTTTACCTCTATTCGCACAGAACGAAGAATCAGAGATTTTCAGACCGAATGGCTGAATGGTGAAGTTGTCCTTTAAACACACAGCACGCTTCCCTGTTTTGAATAAATACATAAGTGGCACTTTAACTATCTGCCATGTACAGCGAATCCCATCTTATTGTCAATGTTTATTTTCATAGGGCCATGGGGACTAAAGCCGGAAAAGCTGCCTCACTTGTCCTGTACAATATGTGGACACATCAAGAACTTCACAATGCCTACAAGAAGGTAAGAAGCTCCACAATGGACATCTGGCCTAAGTAATAAAATATAAAGCCTCAGATATGGAAGCCTAGTAAAGGAACTGTGTGCATTGCTGACAGCAGCCAGTCATGTTGTACAGTTTAGATTGCCAGCTCTGGGCTACCCCATCCGTGGACATGAAATCAAACTGGACACTTCTGAGCATTGCAAAAACTAGACAACAAGGGGCTGATGTATAAAACATTTCCCAGCACATAGCTGGGCTGACGAAGTTCACACGACCTGACTGACATTAGATGGAGCATAGGAAATTGACTCCATCTAGTGGCAGGAATGCCCTGCGAATGGCATTCACCCAGCTATTCACCGGGGGAACGATTTATAAATCAGCCCCTGAATGTTGAGGTATCATTGGTTTAAAATCTCAAATTTACTGTAGCTGCCTTTATAGTGATTTTGCTCAAACATAAATGCATACACGCAATAGGTTGGACTTGATGGACTTATGTCTTTATTCAACCTCAAATACTATGTATGCCAGAACCCCCCCAAAAAAGTCTGATTTACTATAATTACCACTTAAAGCTCCAGACAAAAAAATCAATGTGAAAAATTTAAGTTTTACTAGAACCTGTGCAATCCTTCCATTCTCTGATGCCTAACATGACCACTGTCAGAGCAATAGTGAAGAGGAGGATTAGTGTTCAGGCAGACTCATGGCTTTGCCTGGATATATTGTAGGTCCCACCCCCATTCAGAGACCATGTGACCAATACCTTGGCATGAACCATATGACTGGCAATGAAAAGTGAAGAACTGAACATATTTCTAGGAAATTAGTTTTTCCCCATCTGTCTTTGCTTTGATATTTATAGTAAACTTTAAGTGTACAGGTGTACAGGTCCACTTTAAGAACTGTATAAAGTTTATATTGTGTTTCTCCTTCATTTGGGAGCAGCAGAATGAGAATTTGTATACAGGCCAAAGCGGCGCATTTCTTATGAATTAAATGTTTTGCTTATATTAATTTAAAATAACATTTTATAAGTAAATTCGTAAACATTTTATCAGCTTATTAGAACCGGGCATATATTTAGCATTGTAGGAGAAGGTATATCCCAATGCACAGATTCTGTTTTGCAATAGAATGCTGATGCAACTTTTAAGTCCAGTCAGAACTAAAATAGAACATTTGGAACCATCGGCTGCACTGCAAAAATAAGTAATAAAAAATAATAAAAATAAATAATAAAATACTTATCACCTTTTTTTTCATCTTGTGTTAGTTCTTAGCGTTGCTGATGTCCTGCAGCCTCTATGCAGCCACTTCCTTTCTATATACACTTCTGCGATGGCTGCATGGCATTCCTCAGAGCAGATTTCCTGATTGTGACAACAGTGGGCCATGCCTGCATAATGTGTTGAAATGGTCACCTGTTGTCTCCATCGGAATTCTGCATAACATGGTGACAACTCAGGAGCACAACTGAGAGACCGGGACAAAGCGTTTCCACCCTATAACAGGAAGTGACTGAACAAGGGCCTTCTTGGCATGATCAGCATTTAAAGGAAAGCTGCAAATTTAAAAAGACTGAAAATGACTTTTGAAATCACATTAATCCTTTGAAGATTATATGAGAGTTTAATGATTGTGTTTATGTATAATTGAACTATCCTTTTCTCTGCTTGTGTCCCCGTCAGGCTACGTTTAAGAAAGGAGATTTTGTCAACCCCAAGACTTCAAAGGCTTACCATTCCCTGTGAATCAGAAGGTTGTGTTCTGGCAAGAACAACACGCGTCAGTTTATGAACTAACAAAGACAATTACAAGTGACTTCACCCGCATGACTACATACTGCCTTTCCTGACGCAGCTTAAACTCTTCCGCTGTTACTTTAGATATTTGTGCGACTTACGAACTCCGTCAGCCGGGATACCGAAGACTTTTGTATTGAATCCCATTTTTGCACCTTTTTTCCTATTGATCACGGTTTGTTTTTATACGGAAGATTACGGAACAGAAAGCAAGCCTTTGTTTCTCTAGCACTAATAACAGTGTAATCATTGTGCATTTTCCAAGAATCTGTGAATTGCTTGTTTTGTACAATGGCTTAAACTGATCCCTATATCATCTTGGTTTTTAAAGGACTTTATATTACCAAAGCAAGAATTTCTTGCTTTCTTGAAGTCATGTGACTACTGCAAGCTCTGATGCAAGACCTTTTGCTTCATCAAGATTGCAGATGTTGGTTTACCATGTGCATCGGTCTGCTGAACTCTATACATTGTGTTTTGCGTCCAATGCTGTGCTATAGATCTTTTTAGTTTGTTTTATAGAGGCTGTAAGAAAGCTAGGAAGGTATCACAAGAAAACAGAATCACCCACCATTAACAGATCTACCAATTTCTCCATGCAGCACTCACCAATACTGTTTATCCAAAATCTCTAGGTTATAGTGTGTTTAGTTTATCATAGCATAACAATTGTTTGCTTTTGAATTTAATAACTTGTCTTGCTTTTGGACAAATTCACATTTTGTCATCACTTTGCTAATTTTCAATATTGATCTCTGTTAGTATTATCAGAGTGTTGGAATGTGGGGGCTCATCCGGGACAGGATGCTGGAAGATCACATGATCTTTGGCAAGCAACGGATGTCACTTCATTCCCTTTGTGTCTTGTGTATATAGCCAAGTAGAGCATAGGTTAAAGGGCTGCAGTTTGACCTTAGAACAGCTTTACTTTTAAACCACAGCTATAATATTCTCTGAACATGCAAACTGCTATAAAGTCAGATTTCAGGAAAGATCAACCTGATTGGGTGGTTCTGTCAGGTGAAGTGCAGTGAAACAATGTGTATATAGCATTTGCATTCATCCATTTACACACACTAATGTACAGTTTTTACATTCATACCTTTACATAATTATTCCCTCTATCATCCATTTCCTTTGCCAATATGAGGACTCTAAAAGAGGTGGAGCCAACCTCTAGACAGGCGGGGTTTTACACAAACATAAATAATAACTTTTTTTTGTTTCTAGGTGAAAAACCTCCTGAGCTTTGCCAAATAACATAGAAATCCAACAGTTTTTAGTATCCTATGCTTTAGATGTGCAACCTACAGATAGCTGCATAGGCCCCGGATGCTGCTCTGTGCCCGGATGCTACAGTTTATTAAAAATGGTTTTACCTAAAGAATATATAACAAAAACAAAAAATGGTTTCACCCCTGCTAAAATTATCATTGCATTGTAAAATAAATTTGGCAGTGATATACTCAGTGGTAATATATTATTTTATTAATTAGTGCACTGCTGTATGTTAAAGTGGTGAGGATGGAGGTTAGGCCATACTGGCCTGGAGGATGGAGGATGGAGGATGGAGGTTAGGAGGTTAGGTTAACTGTAACAAATTTGACTTAAAGTGTATCTAAACCCAAAAATAAAAATGTAATATATTGCAGCTTACCAGTCCTTAGGTGTGGTGGCTGCATTAGTTTTTTTTTTTCGACATTTTCCCTTTATTTTTGACAAGTGATCCTGCCATTAATACACTTCCTGTCCGTAGGAAGCTACTCATCCTACTATTTTAAGACAACAAAGATAGGGCAGGATACTTCATACCATAGATGGGTGGGGATTTGTAGTCCTCCAAACAATGTCACTGATATGAATGCTGTGCAAGCAGAGAGAAGAGGAAGTTATCAGTTGACAAGATTTCTGGCAGGATCAACAGGTATATCTTTGCAATTATCGAACAGATATAACAAAACACTGTCAATGTAATATTTACCAGACCCAAAGAGAGCAGATAAGAGACGCGCATTGTTAAGGTTTATGTATCCTTTCATTTTTTACACTTTTAGCTTTTTTTTTATTTAGATATTTGTACCTTCCTGTATGTCAGGATTAATCATATCATTTTATTTCTGAACATTTAAAACTGCAGCATTTGCACAAGGAGTTGATGGAATGTTATGTTATGTTATGTTGATAGTTTGATATAGTAGGTGAAACAAGGTGCAGCTTCAGGCTAGGTTCACACCTGTGCGAATCCCCACCGCGCGGCAATCATGCACAAAACCGGGCGGTCACAGAGTTGCCCACCACAGCCAATCACGCTGGAGGTGCCATTATTTTCTAATGGCACCCCAGTCACACCGGGCGGATCGCACGGTTTCCCACCGCGATTCCGCCCATGCAATTGAACACAAAAAAATCGGTGCGTCGTGTGTCGCAAAAAAAGGTACTCTAGTGATTGCTGCGTGGATATAACCCCATTGAAAGCAATGGGGCTGCGCAGCAACCGCAGTGTGCACTAGCACATGATCGCGCGGCCCCCGGGACGCACGGCCACGTTGTCACTGAGGTCTGAATCTAGCCTCAAGATCGCTCCCTGGCGGTTTTAATGGCGGACGCTGTCAGCTACTTGTGAAAACTGAAGCCACGAGGAAACTGCCAGAACATTTTGTGTTTTTCAGAACGAGGAGTGAAGTTTCCATATTATTGATGGATTTTTAGGATGTTTGTAACAAGTTTGGGCTGCATTTTGCACAGTTGCATAACATGGATACAAAAAAGCCCCAGGATGTGAGGAATGTGTTACATTGTATCATGGAAGACGACAGTGGAAGAGGGAGGATTGTCAAACAAGTTACCAACAGAATCCGGCATATAATTATTAAAGCAGAAATCCAGGTACATAAAAACATTTTTTTTAAATAGTGTAGCCATAGTAAAAAAAATACGGATTACAATCCAGAGCTGACCCCTCAGTAATTTATCTCTACCACAAGGTGTCACCAGTCTTCCTGGTTGAATGACAGCTACTCTCTACAAACCCACTTCCTCTGATCCCAGGCTTTCATGTACAGACCCCTTGAGGTGCATTATCATGCCTGCCTTGGTTCAAAGTACTACTCCACTAAATGGCGTTCATGTCATTGCGTCAGCGCCGTTTGGTGCAGTAGCAAGGGCTGCCCACAGCTACTACGGGAGGAGAAGAGGAAGGAACCATGATGTCGCAGACTTTTTTAGGTGGGGGGGAGGCTCATGGAGGGAAGGAGGTGGGGTTGGGGGGACAGTGGGAAATTAATATTGTTTTAAAGAAAGTTCCGCTTTCTACCAGTCTCAGAGACAAGAAGGAGCAAATATGGCACCTTACCCTTGCTTGCCTACGTGGACTATTGTAACTCTTGTTTTAGTTGGTGTTTGTTCTTCTCTGTCTTCAGCATTTTCTTGGAATTGTATATAGATTTATGTACTTTTTATTTGATGTGACTTTTTTGATGCAAAATTATGGCGTGCCATTTTTGGGGAACGGCAAAAGAGATATTTGCTGACAGAATGTATTGCAAGTGGGAGATTAAAAGACTTTTAGTTGGTGTATTAAAAGCTTAGTTTAATGGAGACTTATTTTTTTAATGCTTGACTCTCTATTTTTTTAAAAACTTTTATGTGTGTTCATATAATTGCGTTTTGTAGTAAAAGTGACTTTACTGCTCAGTGGTAGAGGCAGGCCAAAGTTGGATGCTGCATGGTGCACGCAAATAGTGTGATGGTGGTGAGCCGGGCGGGGAGCTGTGTAAGGGCTCTGTATCTCTCTGCCTAGCCCTTGGCAACCTATGACGCATTGGCCGTCGTCCTGCCAAGCTCCTAGCAACCAGTGACGTCACTGATTGCCAGGAGCTCAGCGGAACACCGGCAAGAGCGTCACAGATTGCTAAGAGCTGGGCAGGGAGATGTGTATGGCTGGGACGCTCTCTAGTCAGAGAGGGGGTGGCAGGCACACGGCAAACCTTATGCAGCAGAGTGGCCATGCTGCTCTGCCTGCCACCGCCCCATGTGACCCAAAGAGAAGCCGCCTCATTCAAGGGATGCCCCTGGGGGGAATACTTACCTTTCCAAGGGGCAGTGAAATGCATTTTACTCTCCATCATTTTTGCTCGGTGCTCCACTACTATCTGACACCTCTGGATGTGGGGTATCCCCTACTACTGTACGTATGGGGTATCCTCCACTATGTCCTGTACGTTAGTACTTACATAGGGGCTGGTCAGGGGAACAAAAGCTAACGGGGGGGGTCACTCTATCTGACACACCTGGAGCCGGAGGAGAGAGCAAAGATTTACCCGGAAAGGAGAGTATTCCTCTTCTTCTTCTACAAGGTGGCTGTTGTCTAACTTCTAACAGCTAGAAACGGGGTCACCTTGAGAGCTGTTCAGTGCAGCTTCTTAAAGCTTAACAATGTTTAAAAATCCAAGCAGCTTATCTGCAAATATTTGTATGATTTCTGGAGCTGATTAACAAGCTTAACAGGCAGATATGACAAAAAATAATTTAATAAGTACACCTTTAACAATAATTTAAATAGTACATCTAAAATTTGTATTGATATTCACCACCTGTTCCCGCTACACAGCAATGCTTTGAATGGGAGAGAGTAGGGTGCCATTAGGGCCTCGTAGCTGTGCTATCTTACAGCATGCTCCAGAGAAGGGCACTTGCGCTCTCTGTGTAGAAGCAGTGGTCTCTCTGCAGAGGTCTGACACCCTGCCGAGTCACAACAAGAGTTCTCCAATCAGTGGGTAAACTTAAATTTGCTATGTGGAGAACCCTAGCTCGTAGTCAGCAGCATGCATGTCAGAACTTTGCAGACAGACCACTGCTTCCACATGGAGATCAAGGGTCCTTTTCTGCAGCATGGGCTCTGGCAGGGCACAGGCTTTTCTAATGAACTGTAAGACTGTGCAGACCTTTTATTTTCATGTACCTAAAATGTATTTCA